AACAATTAAGTGGGATTTTTTTTTAGTTTTGCGGCCTACTGCAAAAAATTGTCAACATCATAGAGAGGAAGCGAAAGGGGAGAGAGGGCTGGCCTCCCAAGCATGCCGTCTTGTCCTGCCCATCCAGTGAGGGAAATCTCCCCAGCATTTCCTTGATGCAAACAGGAGGTGCTGGTGATTGAAAGGGCAGGGAAGAAGAACATAAGCATGTAATAAATGAAGAAGGGGGACCCTGCAGGATCAGATGAGGGAGGGAGGGAGGAAGAAGCAATCCAGTACATGTATGATCAGCAGTAATAAGAGTTAAGGTTTGGAGGTGGGGTGGAGATAGTCACAGTTTTTCACATTTATGGTGGTTCTGGACTGTGGTAGGGCCAAGACAGGGGAGTTTCTTTCTGTGCTGCGAGAATATCACTATTGGTGTTTTCTTTGGTGTTAAGATTGCCACCTACAATTGGGGAAGACAGCAAAGCTATTTCTCTGTGACCCTCACTATTGCTTGAGTAAATGTTTGCTTAACAGTAAGATATGAAAGGAGTATTAAGGTTAGGACCTTTTTGTCAGGTTCTGAATGTAAGATCACACTGGTAGGGAAGAGAGGAGCTGAGATATATATGATGTGGGGTAATACCAAGCTGAAGTAATTAAATGCAATTAACTACTTATATATGCGTGAGTTTCTTCTTCATGGTCTGAGCACTATGGCCTAGTGCCTTGAAAAAAACATTCCATCTTCTTGCTCTGAGCGAAACTTATCTGAGTGTCTGAGCTGTGTTGAATTTCTGTGGTTCATCTCATCTCAGTAGTGGTTCATCTCATCACTTCTTTTTCAGATCAGTGATTGTAGAGCAGATTTCTAGGATTCTGTTATATCCTTTTTTTTCTAGAAATCTTTTCCTTTTGTGCCAGTTCTGTTTCCAGTGTCTGTGCATCTTGAAAGGGAGAGAACCTGTACTCCTGTGTTCCTTTGCTGGGGCTACAGACCTTTTGAGGATTTGAAAAGCATTTGCTTTAAAGCATTTATTTATGAAAGAGGTCACACGCTTGACCTGGTTTTCTCGACGGGACGGGAAGAGGGTGGCCTGGAAGTGAGAAACTTGATCTTGACTCCTCTGTCATGGTCAGACCACTTCCTCGTGAGGTTTGAGCTCGGGTCTGATCTCTCCCTCCAGAAGGGTGGGGACCCTATTAGGATGGTCCACCCCCGGAGCCGGATGGATCCAGATGGATTCCTGAGGGCTGTGGAGGATTTTCTGGCAGATGAAGCTGGCACTCCTGTTGATGGCCTGGTCGACTCATGGAATAGGGAGATGACCAGGGCAATCGACACGATCGCTCCTAAGCGTCCTCTCCCTCCTAGCAGAGCCCACTCGGCACCATGGTATACGCCTGGGTTGCGGGCAATGAAGCAGCCTGGGAGATGACTAGAGCACAGGTGGAGGAAATCTCGAGACGAATCTGACTGAACACACTTAGGTGCACATTATCGTGCCTATGCTGTGGCGGTGAGGGCAGCGAAGAGACAGTTCTTCTCTGCTTCCATTGCTTCCTCACAGTGCCGTCCGGCGGAGCTTTTCCGAGTGGTGCAAGGCCTGATACATTCTGGCCAGAAGGAAGTGGTCGCACCTTCAGCAGCCACTGTGATGACTTTGCCCAGCACTTTAGGGAAAAAGTCGGTCAGATTCACCGCGATCTGGACTCCACAGTTGATTTGAATCCAGTACGGGAGGTGTCCAGAGCACTGTCTGGTCCATCATTAGTGGATGAGTTTCAGTTATTGCAGCCTGATGATGTGGACAAGGTGCTTGGAATGGTATGTCCCACCACCTGTCTCCTGGACCCATGCCCCTCTTGGCTACTTAAAGAAGCCAGTTACGGGATTGGTCCCTGGGTCCGGGAGGTTGTCACTGAGGGAGGACCAGGTCCCTACCCCCTTGAAGGAGGCAGTGATCCAGCCTATCCTGAAGAAGGCATTCCTGGACCCAGAGGTGGCCACCAATTTCAGACTGGTGGCCAACATTCCATTTCTGGGCAAGCTGTTAGAGTGGACGGTGGTGGGACAACTCCAGGCACTCTTGGATGACCCATTTCAGTCTGGTTTCAGACCTGGTTATGGCACTGAATCTGCCTTGGTCGCCCTGTACAAGGACCTGTGCAGGGAGAGGGACAGGGGGGAGTGCGTCCCTATTGGTTCTCCTGGACCTCTCAGCAGCTTTCGATACTATTGACCATGGTATCCTTCTGGATAGACTGGCCGGGTTAGGAGTAGGAGGCTCTGCTTGGCAGTGGTTCCGCTCCTACCTGGCTGGCTGACTCCAGAAGGTGGTGCTGGGGGACTATGGCTCTGTGCCATGGCAGTTGTGCCATGGGGTTCCGCAGGGCTCTATTTTGTCCCCCATGCTTTTCAGCATCTACATGAAACCACTGGGAGAGGTCATTAGGAGGTTTGGACTGCAGTGTCACCAGTATGCTGATGACACCCAGCTCTGCCTCTCATTTACATCTACTCCAGGTGAGGTGGTGGCTGTGCTGAACCAGTGCCTGGCCGAGGTAATGGGCTGGATGAGGGCCAATACACTGAGCCTCAATCCAGATAAGACGGAAGTCCTGTTGGTGGGTGGATCGCGGTTTCAGGTAAGTGACTTTGACCTTGTCCTGGATGGGGTAGCACTCCCTCTAAAGGACAGGGTCTGCAGCTTGGGAGTACTCCTTGACCCAGAGCTGTCACTGGAATCCCAGGTGGCGGTGGTGGCAAGGAGTGCTTTCCTACAGCTTCAGCTGATCCACCAGCTGCGCCCTTACCTGGACAAGCACTGCCTAGCAACGGTGATTCATGCTCTGGTAACCTCCCGGTTGGATTAGTGTAATGTGCTCTATGTGGGGCTGCCCTTGAAGACGGTCCGGATACTTCAGCTGGTACAGAACAGAGCTGCCAGGTTGCTGACAGGGACCAGTTGTTATTCTCATATAACGCCGGTCCTCTACCAGCTACATTGGCTTCCAGTTGAAGTCCGGGCCCAATTCAAGGTGCTGGTATTAACCTATAAAGCCCTGAATGGCTTGGGACCAGGATACCTGAAGGAGCACCTCTTCCCTTACATGCCCTCACACCCCTTAAGATCTGCGGGATTGGTTATGCTCTGGGAGCCCTCTTTAAAGGAGATAAAAAGAACAACTACCCAGAGCAGAGCCTTTTCTGCAGTGGTGCCCAGATTATGGAATGCGCTCCCTGGAGAGGTGCTCCTGGCAGCGAGTTTATATCCTTTTTGGCGCCATGTTAAAGCCTTTTTATTTAATTGTTATTTTAAAAATTAATATTTTGATTGTCAACAGTCGCTTTTTTGTGTTTTTTGTTTTGTTTTTGTTTTATATAATTTTATGGAATTTGTAATGTTTTATTGTTTTTAATTGTACATTTGTGAGCCGTTCCAAGATGCCGAGACATGTGGTGACGGCATATAAAAGTTTTAAATAAATAATGGATTTTTGAGACAGCCAAGAAGTTGTTTATCTTGTATAAGTTATAATCCTGTCGCTGTTTTGAGTTGTATCTAAAGGAAAATAACTCATAAATATACTCTTTTCCTCTTAAGTACTTTCTCTTAAGTATTTTTCTCAGCTTCTTTGGTCCTCCAAACTGGAGGCATAGTATTGGATAAGTTTTGTTGAATTCTGTCAAATATAGGATAAAATATTGTAACACTAACAGATTTCTGAAAAAAGATAATTCTCTTAAATACTTATATTTGCTATAAAGAGAGACGTTTGCATTAGAATCTTCCCAATCAGAAGGTAGTAGCAGTGAAAATACACAGTCAAACAGTATAATGCAAGCTTGTCCAAAAATTATTCTCCTTCTACTCTGACCATTAATGAGAAACTGTTTCATCCTGAAGCTTCTCATTTCGCAATCAAGAATTTGATTAATCCATGGAACAGAAGTGTTGTCATCTGTCAAAATCACTGGTCAGCAGTACATTTTTAGCACAGTTGACAATAATTGTGACATTAAAATTCATATTTGAATGGCAGGTCAAGGACAGTGCAATATTGAGCTTCACCTGCAATATAGAAAGCTGGAAAAGTGAAACTGTTGAAGTTTCATTAGCAGGCAACCAACAGTACTCCTGATTAAACCTTTTTGGGGTCATTAGAATATTTGCCTTAACAAACATGTCCAGACAATCCTTTAAAGTAATTTTGGAGCCAGTCTGTTTATAAATAGCCATGGTACTTTAAAAGAGATTAAACACATTATTACTGGTCGAAGCACTTCAATCCATTTTTAAGCCTACTGGAATGCATGTAATCAACAGTAGTTCTACATCATTTACTTACACTGGCAAAACCTATATCCATATTTAATCTAGGCATGAATGAAAGTTCTTATAGAATGTTGGCACAGATTCAGTGTTTTGCATGTCTCAGTCTCCTTTGGAAGTTATTGGGCCATCATGCTGCAAGTAGCATTTGTTTAATACATGCTTAATTTTTTAATACAAAATAAAGATTTTAATCTGTTATGGATGGTTGCTTATTATAAATCTGCAGTAGCACAGTATATATCTTGGCACGCTCAGCACAGGAAGGATACATTAGAACCAGGTCTGCAAAATATCCATTAAGATGTCTGTATGCAGTCCATTGCCCAGATAACTGTTTGGAATTGCTTCTTAAGAATAGTGCATATGAATCTACAGAAGGTTTAATCTTGTACTTAGTTGAGTTTATCTGTACTTTAAGTATTCTTAAATCCACTAAAACCAGTTTCACATTGCTTCTGAATTCTTGTGTTTCAAATCAGTTGTATGGTTTGCTCTTTCTTGATATTAGCAATGCTTTTCCAATGCATGACTTAGTTGGCTTTTATTCAAAGTTGCATCTTTATGAAAGCAAGCACAGAGTGCAGATCAGGTACACAGCTTATAGCCTGTGAAGGTTTGATTTCCAACCAATTCAGAAAACCATTTTTCCTGTTTATTCTCTCTGCCATCTCACAGGTATGGATGTGTGGGGGTCGTATGGAAGACATCCCGTGTTCCCGCGTAGGCCATATCTATAGGAAATACGTCCCTTATAAAGTTCCAACAGGAGTCAGCTTGGCAAGGGTAAGATCTGGTTGGCTGTGTTCCTTCATATCATCATCCCTAATTTGAATGGCTCAGAACAGTTGCCTGTTCACACGGCAAGTAAGCTACTGTCTTGTTACTTAACAGACCCTGTTCCCTCAGTCATTGTTAAATAAATCAATTGAAAGGTGCTTCTAACTGGTAATATTGATCTGTATTAGATTGACCTGTGTCACTAAACTACACAGACCTAAAAAGCCCAGTAAACCTCACCATAACCCTTATTGTTGGCAGTACATTTCCATTTGCACATCTTGAAGGAAGAAGCCACAAGTATTTGAAAATAGGTCCACATGAGGAATTCAGTTGCTAATTCCTAGAAATTCAAGGTTTGCCCTCACATGTCTTAGGGCACAGCCTTATTACCCCCACCCTTGATACATGTAAGCTTCCATATTTGGAGGTTTATGTGCATCTTGTGCACCAAATAAAGTACTACTGCCATGTCATGTGCCCCAACTTTTTATTTAGATGGCCATTTTAAGCTCTCTAGATGTAGTGCTGGAGATGGAGAGGGGAAAAGAGCATGGAACACCAATAAGACTTGGCAAAAGTCCTTGGCCCCAGCCTCCTCTTCGCCTCCTGCCGTGTCCCTTCTCCTCCCCTCTGGGACATAGTCAAGACCTCGAGGGAGGCAGCCAGGGCCGTTGTTTTTGCACTGGCTGCAAGGGAGGGCTTGGTCTTCCAAATGCCAGTTCTAAGATCATACAACCTGTGTCCCCCAGAATACTCCTGTGCCCCCCCAATAATGTAGGAGGCCATAGGATTGCACCCGTAGTGAATTTTAATATTGCATGAGTGCCTTTCATTTAGTATCCCAACATATTTTTAATGTGAGTAGTGGCTCCCTCTGGTGGAAATGACAATAAAAGAACAACAGATGACTAAAATTATTTTTTACCTTTCAGTTATAGTTGAGTACATAAAATACACAAGCTAGATGTTAGGTTTGTTTAAACTAGATAGAACTTGCTGGCTGGCTAACTTGTTCTTTGAAATGCTATATAGTGGGATGGCAAAAGGAGAAGGGGCCAGCAGAGGATGAGGTGACTGGATGGAGTCACTGAAGCAGTTGGTGTGAGCTTGAGTGGACTCCGGGGATGGTGGAGGACAGGAGGGCCTGGAGGAATGTTATCCATGGGGTCGCGATGGGTCAGGCATGACTTCGCGACCAACAACAGCAACAATATTGGGATGTGCAGACCCCGTCAGATGCTACAGTGAAAGGAATACTTTTCCAAATTCCAGGATTTCACTCTGCTTGCCTGGTCAGTCCCCCATATATCCCTGAACACAAATGGCAGGGTAAGCAATGTGGTCCCCACCAAAGGTTTTGATCTCCACATCTCTAACTGTTGGTAATGCCAACTGGAGCAAAAGGAAGATGTAGTCCAAAATATTTGGAGGACACCATGCTGCCTACCCCTGCCTTAAGTAGGAGAATGTTGCCTACATCTGACTGATTGTAAAGTAGGTGTGCAGCTTGAGTCTCTTCCCTGTCCTGAGCTAGAGTTGCAGGAAGTGGCTTACTAAGAAGGCATTAATTGGGCCTTGCAGAACTTGCATGAGCTGGCTGGTCAGCCAGAAGAAAAACTTCTGTTTGCAACATCTACTTCATATGTACTATATACATTTCCATGATAAAATCCAGAGATTAATCTTGTTAGGCTGTTGCAACAGAAGCAGAGCTTGTGGTATCTTTAAAGATTAACACTTTATTGTGGCATATTTTTTTCTGAGTCATGGTGCACTTCATCAAAAAAGGGGACTCTGGCTCACAAAAACATATGTTGCTATTTATATACACACCAGAGGGCGGGGGCAGTTTTAAGATGCCACAGGAAATCTATATAGTGCTTTCTCAGTTACAGAAACTAGACTTTTGTGACTAGAAATCTAATTTAATTATCATGAAAATACTTCTGTTGCTCTCTTGCATCTTGAGTTAAATATTATAGATATTTCACTTACTAAAACTAAAGTATTGCTCAGAAATTAGGAACTTTTTTGGAAGTCTTCTCTTGTCTGCCTAATACAAATTCAGGTTCATGAATAATGCTTGCTTTTTCCTTATTCCTTTCCAAAATAATGCCACCTACGTAGAACTTGAAGCGTGTAGCTGAGGTGTGGATGGATGAATATGCAGAGTACATTTACCAGAGAAGACCTGAATACCGGCATCTGTCTGCAGGAGATGTGGCTGCCCAAAAGGAGCTTCGCAGCAATCTCAACTGCAAAAGCTTCAAATGGTTCATGAATGAAGTTGCCTGGGACTTGGGAAAGTTCTATCCACCAGTGGAGCCTCCAGCGGCCGCCTGGGGAGAGGTTGGTTTATTCAAGATACTTGCCTGTACCAGATGAGACCAAGAGCTCTCATTCAGTCATGCCGTCTAAAGTGTAAGGTTGCAGGTTTAACTGCAGGAATTCCAGTACTTACTACTTCTGTCACTAAGTTTAGCCAACACATGGTGCATGTTGTTGGGTTTACAAAGAATAGCTTACAGGAATTGTGAATGTATATGATGAAATGATCACAGCTGCACTTTTCTGCCAAAGAGGAAAGGATTAAAGTGTTATATTTGGAACAGACAACAGACCCTGTACTCCTCCTGCCTGAATGCTGCAGTTCTGGTTTGGAAAGGATGAAAGTAAATGGTCGTGGAGGAACAGCCATCATGGCTGTATAACTTTTAGGAAGCCGATGTTTAGGAAGCCATTTAAATGCAAAAAGCCTGCTAGCCCTGTTCTAGAGTTTAGAGATAGAACATAAAGCAATGCCAGTGCTGTGTCCACTGATGACCCGCAGTCAAATATGTCTCTCATAGCTCCCTAGACATATTCATGGCTTTTCCCTAGAGATAGAGATTCACTTGAAATATGCATGGCTTTTTGCTAGAGATAGTCATGGCTGTCTCTAGGAAACTACATGATGTGTTTGTCAATGCATCTCTCTCAGTGGCTGTGTAGTTCCCTAGAGAGAGTTTCATGGCTTTTCATTCTGCAGCAGCTGGACCCTAGAATCACCCTCACCCCTGTACAGGAGGAGAGTCAGACCCTGGCTCTCCAGCAGCAGGTCCATCTCCATCATCATCAGTTAATGTTAGGCTTAATGTTACCTCAAGAATGTTTTAAAATGTTTTAAGAACTGTTCCTTTATTTGTTTTTTACAGTGCTGAATACCTGCACACATACATATATATGCTCTCTCCCTCGTGTCTTTTCAGTATCTGTAGTTACTTTATTGTTACTGTATTATTATCATTATAATGCTGTATTGTGTTGAAGGTGCTTTAGTGAATATGGAACTGTTTCTTAAGTGTTTTATATGCATAGAAATGTAAAATCTGTACATATACTAAGACAAACATTTGGCTTAGTCATGTGATCTGACTTGTATACAAATTCAACTTAAGGATGTTCTCAGGAACAGAACTTTTTCTTCACATGGGGACTACCAGTATCTTTTTGCTAAACTATAGAGAACCATGCAAAGTGAACTCCTCATAAGATTTACTAATTCTGACAGTCCACTGCTGGGTTGCCCTAAGGTAAAAATGGATAGTAAATCCAAAGCTGTGACCTATTTTTAATGTACTTTGGAACTAAAATGGGCAGTTCATTCTGAATCAGTTTTGCATGTGTTCAGGCATATATCTGTTTGATCCTGTTCCCTCTTATGTTTCAGAAACTGCACAAAAACTGCATATAAATTTTAAACTGGAGACACTTGCCTCCAAAGTGTGCATTTTTAGAAATGCCTTGCCACATTCAGAGACATGCACAATCCAAAGGATAACTGCATTCTGATTAAGGTCTAGGAAATATGAAGCTTCTTGTTACTGGTACTGAATCTCAAGTTCATATGTATTCAACATGCTATTTAGTTTTCCAGGAGCTTTTTTTCCTCCATTTTACAATTCTTAATTCTTTTCTCTATGTTAAAAAAAAAAGACACCTCACCTTGTATACTTGCATTTACACCACTTTTTAAAATGAGATGGCATCTTCACTACTTATTTATTTGGATGTTCGTATGTCCAAAACTTAACTGTAAATTGGTCTTGCAGATCCGTAATGTAGGGACTGGTCTCTGTGCAGATACCAAACATGGCATCCTAGGTTCACCACTGAGGATTGAAAACTGTGTGAAAGACAGAGGAGAAGCAGCCTGGAACAATGTACAGGTACATCCTTGTTTAAAATAATTCTGAAGCATTTCCAGAAGTAGCTGGAAACTTCTGGAAATACTTTATGCAAAGCTGACATTACTAGAATAATGGCTTCATTAATATAATACTAATGAGAGGGGATTTCTTAGACTAGCAGAATATAGGCTGACTGCTGACCTAGAAATGCAACAGACATTATTCATAATAAGAGGAAAGTTGCTTAAATACTGCCTTGAGTTAATTGGCAAAAAGACAGTGTGTAAGTAAATACTGCCTGCATCCAAATTTGGGAGTGAATAAATAGGAGGCAAACAGGAAAAATTAACAAGGAGGTAATAGTGCAACCTACCATGTATAAATGTAGTCAGTTCAAAGCATCTTCTGGAATAATTGCTGGAAGAGCATTTTAATGAATCTGCCTACACATTCAGGAACTACTTTTTATCACCTGGCATATGCTGAACTCTCCAGTAGATGCTGGAAAGAATCGAAGCAGGTCAGACAGCATTTCCATTCCCTTGATGCATGAGGTTCCACAATTTGCAGCTTAGTTGTAACTTAGTAAGTAAAAAATGTTACTTTAAGTATAACAATGCAAGGAAGACCAAATAAACACAGGATCTTCTGAGGAATACTTCATAAATGGGTTTGATAAAAAGAAGGGCTGCTGTGTATCATTTCTATGCCTGTAAACTAGACATAGAATCACTTTGCTTTGAAACAAAGTATTTCTAAAGAAAACTGGACTCTGTCGATGAGTTCCATACTTCGGGTTGTTTAAATAAATGTGAATATTGAAATAGGGAATTGTGCATATTGAAGAAACTGGACTTTTTCATTTTCTATCCACTTGCTCTTTGACAGCTGCAACAGCATGAAAAAACTCTCCAGCTGATTGTGAGAGATCTACCTGAGTTTGCCTTTTGTTGCTTAATGTGTATGAGGGGTACTTTTCTTACATCACACCTACTTCTAGAGTTCCCCCCCCCTTTCCTATTTGCCCACCAGAACTGCTCCAATAGGTAGCATGCATTTCTCTAAGAGTAAGTGTTTTAAGCTGCAGATAAGAACGCAAGTCATAAGATTAGGACAAACAATCTACCAAGCATTTGCTCCACAATGGCCTTGTTCTTACTGGATTGAGGATTCTCTTCATCAGCCCCTCTTCTGGTACTAAGCTTGGGTTCAATCCCAGCTTTAAGGAGCCTCGGATGACCTTTACACTCGGTAGATCTATGGGTCTTGAATATTAGAAAGGTTAATACTAAGTATCCCTCCTCATAGGTATACACAGAACTGAGGAATAAAAAGATGAGACAGCAGGCCATGCTGATGCTAACCCATGTTTCTTCTTCAGGCAATTAAGAATTCCTGGCAAAAGCCATTCTTCATGCCCCTAAACATCCAAGAGCCTAGATAACTCATACAGAATTTAGGAGGATGACTGAATTTCTTTTGAAACATCCCAACTCTGAATGCCATCCTTGCAGAGGCTGTTCAAGACAAGGCTAGGCAAAAGGTTCATGCTGTCCCTGTAGACAGAGAAGCCTGTAAGCTATGCCTTGGGGTGGCTCTTTCTTCCACAGGTGGCCTTTCCTTAAAGATCACTAATTATTAGGTCTGTATGTCCAGATACAAGCATTTCCTTGAATATGTGGTTGTTGTAGTTGGTCATCTACCTGATGATGACCAAATCTTGTAACAATGTTTCCTACTGGGGCCTTCTGAAACAAATCACTAGCTCTTGCCAGGTGGCGGATGACACAACAGACCACTATGTCTTAATTTGCCCGTGGGGGCTTTCAGGGATATTTTGTCAGGCATTCCTGAGCACCTTTTTTGCATGGCACTTAATGGGCGATAGCCCTGCATAACTCTAAAATGAACAACCCCTGTTGCCTGATCCACACAATGCAACCAACCATGGTGAACTGGGCACCTGGCAAAACACCCCAGCCCCCATGGGTAAATTGAGCCATAGTGAGCTGCCATATGAGGGAAGCCTGGTCTTTGTATCCAAAGTGATGGCCCACAGCTATAGCCCTTTGAAGTCATAGCAGGCTGTAATCTGCAAGTCTTTCACAGGAGGCTAACATGCTGATACAAACCCTTCATTTTCATCCAAGTTCAGGTTTACATCTCACTATTCAGCCCTCAGAGTTGTCCAAGAATATTCTGTGCCTGGCTTCAGGACTCCCATCCGACTTGTGTTTTTGTCAGTTGATGCCAATATTTCACCAAGTGTAGGAAGACAATACATTTGAAAAAATCAGTCCTTATTATCATTTGTACTGTATATGCCAGAATTTACTACATTTCCCCAAGTTGAGCATCTTTTTCCACTAAGCCATCCTCTCCTGCAAGAAAAGGTTATTTTTAACCTTCAGAGGTGAACACTAGAACCTGTTTTTTTCCAGGGAAGAATCCATTGGTTTTTACGCCAGATACTGCTTTGTGCTGAAGGAGGAATGTGGACTGCAACCCATTTTAGTCATCAGGGATATTAACATCTTTATGATGCACAAAATATTTCACATAATGACTATGGCTAGCGTATTACCTTTCCAATATAATTGGCTTGTATCTGTAGACCTGAAATTCACTAGCTATATAACCATGTCTCTATCAGACTGTATCACAGGCACCCTCTTCTGAATTTTGTCGTGGGGTTACTGCTTCCAATTTTGTTGCTTTCCCTTTGGTTTTGGAATGCCCTCAGTAACATTCACCAAGTGTACATTACTGGATCTGCCATGTGAACACAATCTTTGCATTTGCTCAGCACTGCCGGGCAAGACCTGATGCCTCTGACTAGGCAGTATGTTCCTTTTCTGCTGGCTTAAGACCTATACCCACCTCCAGTAAAACAGTGTACATTTGTAATGCACAGAAATCATTAAGAAGGATGACAAGTTGCTTACCTGTAACTGTAGTTCTTTGAGTGACAGCCTGTGCATTCATGCAGCCAGCCCCTAATTCCTACTTTCATTACCTACCTTGGCCTTTTGTCCTGCTTTGTTTCTCCATATTGCTCCAACATCTGACTCTAGAATTCAGCAGGAAGAGTGAGGGATGTGGCTTCTGAATGTATGCAGCTAAATTGGAGGAAAGATATTCTGCAAAGGTTTCTTAACTCTAGAAATTTCCTGAACAAAGCTGCACAGGCCTGTATGTGAGAATGCGTGGGCAACCACTCACAAGGTTGCAGTTACAGGGAAGTAAGCTGTCCTGCCTGCCAGAATCTCATCTGAGTGTAAGTCAGCACAGAAAAATGTTGATGTGCCTACAACCATGAACTGTGTGTGACGAGTGGCAGCTTTTTTAAAGTAAATGCTTGTATGTTTGTCTAAGCAGGTGTTCACTTTTAGCTGGCGAGAAGACATCCGTCCAGGGGACCCCCAACACACAAAGAAATTCTGTTTTGATGCTGTTTTTCACAATAGTCCAGTAACACTCTATGATTGTCATGGAATGAAGGGAAATCAGCTGTGGAAATACAGAAAAGTGAGTGTAATTCTGTCAAAACTTTATGGTCACCTGTGATATTGAATATATTAGTCTTACAGCTACAAGTGGAGGGAACCCCCATGTTTCTTAACAAAAGGAGCTGCTGAGAGTATTAGTAGTCATGGGAAAAATAGGGCATAGTAAAGTTGACTCCCTGTATTTAAGACACATACAGGTAAAGATATTTACCTGGATGGTTGCCTGGATGACAAAAACACTCAAAACCAAGGATATTTCACAGCTGCAGAGCATAAAAGCTCTGTGATGAAGAATATAAAACTCTAAGGCTGAAATGGGTAGACTGTGTTACCAGTTGAGCAAGACACCACTCCAAGAAATTTATAGTTCCTAGTCTGACCATGAAGCCCTACTCATAATGTAAGTGAATGTATAATATTGCACTGCTTCCAGGAGGCTTAAAACACCAGAATATACATCCATGCTAGGCTACGTATAGCTCAGGTATTTCAATGTCTGCTTCAGTGAGTTTGTAAGATAATGGGAAATTAACAGTATGTGGCTTCTATAAAATGTGTGTGCAAGTGAGAACTAGGAGATAATACCGTGTGTTTAGATGTTGGAAAAGTGCTGCCTTCATCAAAATTTATTTAAATATTGTTTAAGGCCATTTACCAAAGCCATGAACAGTGGTTCTGTTCAGAATTAATAAAGAATGCTGCACACAAGAAATACTGCTTACTGCACTAGAGCTGCTATTAGATGCTAAGTAATGAGAAGGAAAATACTTTTTTTAATTTCCAAATGCCTTGATGTATTCCATAGTCTAGGAAATTTATTTTGAATTCTTATTCTCAGGACAAGACCCTTTATCACCCAGTAAGTGGCAGCTGCATGGACTGCAGTGAAAGCGACCGAAAAATCTTCATGAACACCTGCAGTCCCTCATCTCCAACACAGCAATGGATATTTGAACATACAAATTCAACTGTCTTGGAAAAGTTTAACAAGAACCTTGACCTTTAAAGACTGTCTATATATATGTATATATTACAGCTATAGTTTTTACAGGGAAGATGATGATTTTTTTAAAAGAATAATTTTTTAAAAAAATAAGGTAAAAGGGAGAATCTCAGGAGAGGGTGCGACTATCAGGCCAGTCTTTATTTTGATGATGCTGCATCTTTATCTTTTGGGTGACTTGAACCCCTTTAGCAGATAGAAATCTGCATTGCTACAATTATTTCTTAATCTTATGATTCTTGGCCATTAAGATCCCATTTCAAGCTGGCATTTGTGTTTTCCATGTGATATGCAACAGTAACATTTTCTCAGAGCCAGACCCATGGACCACTCCTGCACCCAAAGGTGAGTGTTGCTCATCACATTGCCCCTCGTGTTGGAAGTATGACGTCCCTCCTGTCTCTGTGTGGCAGTCCACAGGGATAGATGTGTGGGCCCTACCGAGGATTTTCTACTTGTGACTACTAATGATCAAGGGATAGATTCTTTCTCCTTAAAGTTCCTTGTCTTTTCCCTGCACAGCTCTTCCCCACCAGCATTTAATTCATTCATCCAGCAGCCCCTGAAAATACCTGACAACTCTCTTAAAACACCTTTTTACAGTGGGAGTAAAGCATAAAAAGCAACATAAGGGTCATTTGAACAACCTTTTATGTTAATCTTCCTCTCCTCCTGCTCCAAACCCTTCTCCACCACCATCAGTCTCCTTCAGAAGTTTCCCTGTGCAAGGGAAGATCTGTTCTTCTAGCAGTGTCTGCTCTGGCAGACAGATACAGTGGGATACAACCTGACTTGTAAATATTACATTTTATATTTGAATCTGTGTATTCCAGACTTTGAGGTTCTGATGACTACAATATCTCTGACCTATCCCAAACAAACAATACCTGTCTCAAAAAAGCAAAATTTCGAAAAGAAAATTCTCAACACAACTTGTACTGTTGATTGAATATGTAATACATAAACCCATGCAGTGCCTGGTGTTGCTGATCACCCTATATACAGCACTAGCATTGTAAATGTGATCTGTTACCTAGATATCACATATTCAACCCCATCTTTAGCTTGATGCCAGTTCTGCTGGGTATTTAACAAACAATGGCTTCTGGACTAACAATTAGTGTTTTAGGAAAAAGTAAAATACATCTTGTACAATAATCCCATGCACAGCTTATTAACTTGGCCTCTTACAACATAATTGGTCATTTAACTGGAGGTTAAACAGCACTAATGTCTTTAGTGTTTTTCTGCCAAATCATAACATTTTTTAATTGTGAGAAACTGAAGTTTCAGATTCATGCATCATGGTGCCTGTTATGAACTAGAGAGTGTGTTTAGTATGGCTGAGACGGCCTGCTGCTAAAATAAATGTATAGTTTTCAATAGGACTGTAGTTTTGGAATACAGGACCATTATATAGTATCACATCACATCCCAAGGAATCTCATAGCCCAGTTATCTTTGACATGGTTTGATGTTGGTGCTGTTTGAGATCAGCACCTGAAAACTGCCTATTCCAAATGCTTTCAAGTTCACCTAGTAATTGATGATGTGCAGCTGGTTCTTTCTGGCACATGAGATTCAGTCTTGTACTGCACTTGTGACATTCTTTTTTCTCAGTTTGCCACTATACATAAAAGACACAGGTAAGGCTGTACCTAAAAGACTAAGGCTAACATTGTAAGATGACACCATGAACATTTTTTCCCAATTTATTCATTTTGTTTATTTAAAGTTTTTATATACTGTCAGTTCATTATAAAATCTCAAGACAGTTTACACAGAGGAAAAAACATTAAAAACTATTATTACAACAATAAAACAGATTAAGAACTCCTGAGTGCCAGGAGTTGATGCAACTAATTAAAATACCATTTATCAGGAGAAATTTAAAAAGTTTAGGCTGGGTTCTAGAACGAATAAAGTGTTGGCACCAGGCACACCTCTTCAAGAAGTTAATTCCATAATTGGGGCACCGTTGCAGAAAAGGCCCCCCTCCTCACCTTTTCAAGGAGGGCTCTCAGAGGAGGACCTCCACAGATTATCTTAGGGTCTGGGCAGGCTCATATGGAAGGAAACGTTCCCTTAGATTACCAGGCCCTAAACTATCTAGGGCTTTATATGTTATTGTTACGACCTTAAATCAGGCCCGGACTTCAATTGGTAGCCAGTGTAGTTGATATAGGACCAGTGCAATATGTTCTCATCTACCAGTCCTAGGCAACAGTCTGGCAGCTCCAATTTGAACCAATTTCAATGTCCGGATCACCTATAAGGGCAGCTCCACATAAAGCATGTTACAGTAGTCCAAGCAGGATGTTACCAGTGCATGAGTTACTGTGCAATGACAACAGTACTTCTCTAAGGTAGCTTATTTTAAGTTTGTAGTGTAGCTGTAGTGCCTATGCTGATTATGCCCCAGGGTGAACCAGTGTGAGATGACCTTTACCACATTTAGGACTACATTATGGAATTCTCCAGGTTATTGTATAACAAAGCTGTATAGAAACTGAAAAGTAGTCCAGGATTTATATAGTTCAGCACCCTTCAGAAGCCAGGACTGATACTGTTCTCATTCCACATCACATCAGGGAGGGAGAGCCACATTCAAGTGGGAAGGCATTCCTCCCTGCAGTGGGACTTGTGTAGACTGGATATGGCCACATGTCAACCCTCAGCCCATTTTGCCTTTCTCAACACAGAGCAAAGAACTGGGCCAGCACTGAAAGCAGCAGCCGCTCCTCTTAAGTGCCAGCTGAGTTACACGCCACACATATCCTTGCTGTTACTTCAAGCTGAAATTGGACCTAATGGTGGGGAAGATCTCAAGAAGACTCCATGGGCTGGAGGTTTGATGTCCCTGACTATTGTGATCACCGTAAAACTTAATGGAGATAATTTGTGTGCTTTTTCATTTAGCATTTCTGATTAGCAAGCATTGAATTTGAATATATAGCCTCCCTAGTTCCGAGTTAGCCGTATTTTTATCTAGTATGAAAGGGGCACAGGAATGCCCCTGAGTCTCAAAAAAAGGTCCACTATTTTAAGCCTCAGCTTATAGAAATTATACCTGATAACTGCAAATTTGGTATCTATGGTCAAGGATATGAGGTCTACAATTGTGTAAAATGTCAAACCAATCCAAAAACATTTGCTATAACACAGCAATAAAGTGCTGAAAATGGATTTATATTTCTTGATCCAAACTGCAGGTCCACATATTTTCTTTCAAGTTTTGTTGAATACTGATACACATTATTCTGGCATGATGAGATGTGCCTTTAGTGACATATCAAAAGCTGTTAAAGAAAATATTTTAATAGTTTCTGAACTGGCGCTCAGAAGTCCCCAAACCAACAAAAGGCAACTGCTGGCAAAGTTTGTCAGGCATGCTCAGTTTCATTCTGAAGTTAGAATACTGCTATTCAAATGTTTTGTCATCTGTTTGCCATGCCTATTCCTGGAATGTGACCTCCCAAAGTGAGACTACTTATTACTACACAAATTAGGATCTCGTATGGGAAGAAGGAAGATAAGACTGTAATTATCTGCCCTTCTACTATGCTCCCAGTCTTTATCTGTCTACCCAAGCCTCCAAGATACATTGCCAAAGCAGCATCCACTTTATAAATGTCAAGTGAAGGACAAAGAGTTAAAGCCCTTTACCCACCATACTGGGGTCCTAACCCATTTTAAGTTTTTTGAGTTTGCTTTTGAATTCATAAGTCTCACACCCAGTATTATCAAGGCTGAATGGCATGTCAGGCAAGAGTCTTTTGCAGCCATACTTGGCAATGCCATGGTTTAAACTTCTACATGCAAAGAAAGTTCTGTATCACTGAGCTATAGCCCCCTTCACCCCCTATTCTTAAGATGGTTGTGGGAATGTAGCTGTATTCAGTCATTTCCACAGTATGTTAGCTATACATAGAAGAAGGGGTTTCAGTAGTTTCACCTCATCTAACGCTGCTTCCGTTGCTTCTTACATTCAGAGGCTAACGATCTGCACACAGTCCATTGGGCTCAATGGACCTATTTCTGAATAGGCATGCATATCGCCTCCTTGAGATGTGAAGTATTAGTCATTCATGACAGCTTTCAGTAAAGCTTTTATGTCATCACATTTTACTAAAACTGTATTTTTCTTCCACTTACTTTAGGATAGTATCTGTTTATAAATCCATAGCTAGAAATGTGGTTTTTCTGTAGATTAATAACTTCCCTTCTGATAAATTATCCCACAATTCCCACTCTGGTAAAATGTGCAAGTTTGCCTCTTCCATTTCCACGTCACTAATCTTTCATCAAAATAATTCCTCATAGTCCATTCAAAGTATGCCTAGATATATTTGTGCTCAATAAAGAGAAATGTTACACACACACGAGAGGATTTTTCATTGAGCATATAATGTGGAAAGAAAAAAGGATGGTTTGAATGTGAATACCCCCTTGTGCCCATGTACAAACTATTAATAAGGATCTCATGTACTAGATGTTACAGCATTTTTTGTCAATTACATAAAAAACATAATTGGAATTTTTCACTCCTTTATTTCATAGACTTGTTGATAATCAAGTATGCCCACTCTTGGTTATAAAAAAGATGAAATTGTCAATAAAGAATTTGTAACCTTTATACCATCAGTTAATATACCTAGAGAATGATGATGCTTGTAATAGGCCATTAACCATATTGTCAAGTAACAAGACTCTCTATATTGAAAAGGTAGTGAATTCTTGATTTCCATTGGGAGTGAAATTACAGAGCCTTCTAGTTACCATAATCTCTTACTTGCAACTGATTCCAACCACTTTCCCCAGGATTTTCCATGATAAAGAGCACATATAACTGTAGAACCTAGAAATGTTTGGGGGGGTTTTTTTAAGGAAATATCCACAACTAGAAGTCTTATATGTTTGCCTCTAAATCTTTCCTGAAAAACCTTGACTTGAGGAGGGTATATTTATAGGTCAGTCATGCTTGCACTCTCAGTTTATTTCCCAATCAACGTGTTCTCTATAATAATACATTAATGAAATAGAGTTGATGTACCTTGCATGGTAGCTGTTACTCTAGCTTTGCACTCAGGCAAGCTGTAATGGTCAGCCATAGTTAAGGTGCCGTTCACTGTAGCTTCCTGAAGCCCTCTAAACTCAGAGGATTATAGGCATCCAGTAAAAGGTAGGATGAGTCTCCACACTTCTCCCACTCTATGTCATTAGTCCTATTCTTCAGGAAGGGTTGAGGCACAGCTGGGGACCCTCATTCCTCCCCTCCGTACTGCATGTCTGCTTTGCAGTTGTGCTTGCCCCTTAAGAGCCACAACAGGTGCAAGGGCAACGGGAAGCTGTTCTGCAGTCGGAGTACCAGTTCCAACTTCAGAACAGATTTTCAGGATCAGAGCTGGGATTCCAAACTATCCCTGTGCCCATCTAGACAGCATTTAGTGGCCATCGGATTGTCCCTTTATGCATTTACTCCTCTGTAATAAACATTCCTCTTTCCTTTTGATAGTAGGGCACAGACCTAGCTGTTTCTAGCATCAAATATTTATGTTGGAAAATTAGAAGGCATTCTAAATTTAGTTTTTTAGTTGCTTGAAGAATGAGAAGTGCTCTGTTGAACATTTAGGCAGTTATTCTCTGAGATATGCTTAGTAGCATTCATCTACACTTGTATGGTCTAGAATTTCGAGTAGTTTCACCCATTAAGTTATTAAAGTGATTTTGCCAAATTACAGTCAAGTTTCAGATGCTCAGTTTCTCTAGCACACTGCCTTATTATAGGGCATTATTCCTCCCTCATTCTGGTCCTCTGCTAAGGGGTAGCTTATATCAAATCCAACAGAAAATTCTGTGTAATTGTCTCATCTGCACAGAATCTACTCAGAGTAACTGGTAACATTATGTATTGTGTAGACTACAGCAAACGTAACAGCCTCTTGATACCAAGAATCTCGTTAGTAGTGCAATACTTGCATTGCACTAAATATTATACAAATAATTGCAGTGTATATTTGACCAAGTGCCATTTTGGCTTGACTGTTTTTTCGATACATCTGATTAATATCTAATTTATATAGTAGCTTGTTTGTGTTCACTCTGCACAATAATAATATTCATAAGAGTCCTGCAAGATAGGCCAGTGTTACTGTCATGCTGAGATTGAGATAAAAGGTAATAGCTTGCCAAAGGCTATCTAATAAGTCATGACTGAGGCAAATTTTGTTTAGGGACTTGCCAGCTTCAGTGTTAGCCACTATCTACAGAGGATCTGTAGGGCAGCAGTATAGTCAGAATTCCACTGGAACCAAATACAGTGGTGAAGGCTAAGTCTTATGAGAGCTGTGAAAATTACTATCTTAGGGACCTCTTCTCTGCGGCAATGGAAATACTCGTATATTTGACAGCACATTTGAAAACAATATCTTTCCTACTAATCTGACTGAATGGCATTCCTTGATTTTTCCACACCACTGGCACAGTCAGTGCCCTGGAAAGCCTGGCCGAGGAAATATCTGGCCAAGGAGTGAAATGCATTGTTCCAGTGGGCCACCTGCTGGCTGGGAAATGAAAATTCATTTTCACCATGTTCATTCATACCGAAGCACATGTCTAGGAGTGAACCAGACTTGCATACATGTCAGCGTTACCTCTGAAAATAAACATTTTGCCTCTTAGTTAGGCTATGCAATATAAAAATCTTCAGTGCCATACAATGTGGCTGTCCTGTCACTCTAAATGTGTAACTTAAGAGCTATAGCTGGTACGGAAAGAACCATGCAAGCTCCAAGGCCAGAGTCCCTCAGAACACATTTCGAAGCTGCAGGTTGTTTTCTTCTTGAAAAATACCGTTCAGCTATGCTCATACTGGGTCTTCAGAGGACAGTAGTGTGCATAATATTAACTGGCACCTCAGTTGTCTTTCTAGACAAGCTCAATTCATACATTTGATTTTCAGGATGTGAGTGCTGTTTGAAATCCACTTCCACGGGGCAAGGAGTTTGTGTAAAGTGACTGCCCACCTAGGAGTAGTGATTCAAGCATGGCATCTTGACTCTTCATTTAGTACATTTGCAGTAGTGGTTGACATGTATCTTGTTGCTTGCAGTGATGCAATCTGAATCCTTGGAAGCCATCTAAATTACCTCAGCTGTAGGAAATATTCCTATCTGCTTTACAAAATTCTTGCATGCAAACACACCCTTCTGCAGTGCAAAGAGAATAATCAGCATCATTAAAATCAAATCTAACAGCATCATTAAAATAAAGAAGTGCCTTTTAAAATGCAAATGTACAGCAAATGCCTACACTTGAACAATTTCCTAGTGCCTTGCTGGACAAGAGTGAAATAGGGTGTGAGATATATAAGAGATCAGTGCAGTGTGTAATTAGTAATGGTTGGAGGGGATTTCTGTGTTTAAATATCCAATTTCAATCTCTCATTGTAGGATGGAAATAAATATGTTGGTCTTGATTTAGAAAATCAGAAGATTCCTGGGTTTCACTCAGTTGTTTCATTAAAGTAAACATGAATGGGGGAATGAAATAAGCAAGCATTCCTACACACACACACAAAATCAGGATTAATCCTAACCAAACTTTTTCAGTAGCTACTGAACCCAAATGTTGGCACAAATCTACAGTGTTCTACATACTATATCCTTCACCAGTATAATCTCGTAAGGCATATCAAAACAGACTAGCTTCATTAGGCATATTTGCCCATACCGATTCAACATCATAACAGAGAAGTCAGAACATTGTTCCCACCCTCTTACATGCTTGAATACCTTTTCACAGTGGTGTCTGTTTCATTCCACTGAACAGTCTCCAAGACCTGAAACCGCAATATTGGCAAGTGTTCAGTGAACACCAAGAACTGTTAAAAGTAACCGAGTGCTTGCATTGCTATAACTACAAGCCTGCACTAGTGTAAAATGTCTGTATTAAACCCCCTATGAACAATACAGTATACCTATTAAAGATCTGTCTATAGAGCTGAATCACCTTTAGTGTCTTGCCTTACAGTACAGCTTGATCCTATTCCTACTTACTGAAAAGACAGACCCATTAATTTCAATTAGATTTACTCCCTAGTGTGCAGTTGTTCCTCAAAGACCTAAGCATCTTGTCCATCTACGATGAAGATTTTATCATATTCCGTATCCCTCCCTTAACTTAATACTCAGTCCTCAAAGAAGCATTATGGTTAGTTTTCAAAACTATATACCACCAGCATAATCAGTGTGTCTTTTCGGCTTTCTGAATTCGCACATTCTCTTAAGTACCCAGTGGTCCAAATTGGATGCAGTGGTGACACACCCCTGCAGTTTTGCCCAAATCACATATAATGAGAGCTATTAAGAGCCACTGGGGTTGAGGGGCGCTGAACCCCATACCTGCCACTTTCCATGGCCCTTCCTAGAGGAGCCTTTTACCCAGCCAGGTGTATTCACAACTAGGCTCTGATGCAGGAAGTAGCCTTGGGACAGCCTGCAAGGAAGGGCCTCACAAGTGGGATGGAGGTTTGGCATCTTTACTGAGATGCCCCTTTGGCTCTTAAAAACACAGAGAACTGCTTTGAATCGGTAGAGAAAAGCAGCTGCCAGTAATAAATCTCATTGGCCTCCCACCCGCCCACCCGCTATTAAACAGAGGTTACTAGCCACTTCTTCGTCATGTGTCAGCATAAGGAGAAAGAAAACAATTTGGATTTTTTAAATTATCATATTTGTAACCCCATAATAGAAGGCTGTCTTGACTCTGTTCTGAGCTCTCATAATTCGTCTGTAACCACTGTTTCTAGCAGATCAGAAGATTTTAATTTGGAACAGCTAATGCTGTGAAGGCACATTACATTGACACTGATAAGTAGGTGCTTTTTATCCAAACTAAAATTAAATTAACTGTGTTCATGACATTGCATTGTAAGTAACCAAACTGACTAAAAGCATTAGTTCTTTCAGCAATAGTATAAAATGGTCAAATATGTTTTGAGGGAGGGGAAAATGGAATTAGGCAGTCTTCAGGAACTCTAGTTTCACATTTTGTGATGCATGCTTAGCAATTTCTTTGAAATTGGATGTTGCTGCATAAGATGTTGTATTTATTTTGTGCATCTTGGGATAACGTCCTGTTGTGCTGGGGGAGGTAAAGGATGTCTAGCACTTTAATGTAGTATCAATGATAAATTGGAAATCATTTGGATGTAAGGTGTAGTGTTTTTAAGAACTGAATGGACTTTCTTTTATAATATATTTAAAATAAATTTTTAATGTGTCCCTTTCAGAAGACCTGTGTGTTTTCTCTTTTGTAACAGCCAAGTCATTCTGTGGATAAGAAGGATAGATTATATTGATAGAGGAAGATGCTTTTGGGCACGGCCTTATGATACTCACAAAATAAGAGGAACTTTTTTAGATGTTTGTTTCTCTCAAAGTTGCATTGCACTCTGAACATAAACATAGGTTATTACAAAGGGGAAGGCAGAGAATGAGGTGGCTAGATAGAGTCACTGAAGCAGTGGGTGTGAGCTTAGGTGGACTCCAGGGGATGGTGGAGGACAGGAAGGCCTGGAGGAATGTTGTCCATGGGGTCGCGATGGGTCTGACACGACTTCACGACTAACAACAACAACAATTACAAATCACTTACCACATTAGGCAGTCTTATGATAAATGTGCTGCCTGGAAGGAATTATTCCTATCCAGTTTTAGATTTTTCATTTGGTTTGTCTATGCGAAGTCAACTTTTACTTTTTTCAGAAGAAAGTTGGATGAAAAGAATTTAGTAATGCATCTTTTTTAAAAACAAGTGTGTGTTTCCCCACCTATTTTTTGCAAGCACATTACTTTCTTGCTACAGTACACGCAAGTATATTTGCATACCTTTTCTACATACTCTTTTTCTCTCATACAACTGAATTAAAATGCTCCCTTAATAAGTCAGTTTCTCTCTTGTGATCCGGAAACAGATGAATTACTTGTTCTGTGTGGTGGCAAAGCAGCATGTGTTGGTGGGTCTGATAGCTAGTATGATGCGGTTAATATGCTGGACAAGGACTGGGTTGATCCATATAGATTCCAACTCAGCCATGGGCCGGTCACATACTCTCAGCTGAATCTACTTCACAAAGCTGCTGTAAGGATAAAATGGAGGGTGGAGATTTTACACACCACCCTGTACTTCTTGGAGGGAGGGTAAGTTCTAAATATAATGTCATAATAAAATTGTTAGGCCTGACGATTTTCATTGTTAGGGATGAAACCTCACATGAGGTTCATGGACAATGAGTTCTTAAAGGGGAAGACAGGCAGAAGGCATTTGGAGGCTCAGGAACGGCAGATGAGATAACGAGGTCACCAAATCTCTACTGAAAAGTTCTTGGACCAATAAGTCTGTGGGAAAAAAATTCTACCATGGGACCGAATCCAGGAGAAAATGCAGGACAAGAGGAGCATACAGCTCCGAGAAGCTTCTTTGAGGGAGGTATGGAGCATATTCACACACAGGAGGGCCTTCTCTGCGGTGGCACTCAAGACTATGGAACATGCTCCCCAGAGAGGTCCGCCTGGCACCAACCCTCTATTCTTTTCAGTGCCAGGTTAAGACCTTTTTATTTAACCTTCATTTTAACAACTAATTCTATTTTAATAATACTGCTAATTTGTATACATTTTATTAAGAGAGGATGTACTGAGGAATGTGTTTATGTTATTTTTATTATTATATCATTACCTATGTTGGAATTTTATTCATGTATGCCGTCCTGAGGCTGTCGCAAAGGACGGCATACAAATGTCTTACATACATAATACAGCTGCCATGTGCCCATTGTAAGAAGGTTCCTGTGACCTATCAGCATCAAAGAAAAGGGAAAGTGGTTCAATAGAGTACTATTACCTGACAAAGTCATAATTAAAGGCTAAATTATCAATTATATATGCTGTCTTTTCCCCTCCCCTTTCTGCCAGAATGCGTAGACGAGTGACCACATGTGGAGGCAGAACAGGGGGTGGGACTCAGGGCCTTACAGGCTCCTTCCAACTCTACTACTATTCTATTCCGAGCCAAACTATTGGTCCATCTGGTTCTATATTGTCAACACTGACCAGCAGCATCTCTGCAAGGTTTCAGGCAGGATTTTTTTATAGCCCTAGCTGGAGATCCTAGCCGGGGATCAAACTGGGGATCTTCAGCATGCAAAGCGTGTGTTCCACTGAGTGAGCGATGGCTCTGCACGTAATAGTGACAAGGTCATTCCTAATCTTCAGGTGCTATTTTAGAATTCTGCAGACTTGACTTGGCTCTGAGGTTTACTTCAAAATAGAAGCATCTAGCAAGTTCAGTCTTTGTCAGCCTTCTTTAATGGTGCTGTTACCTGGTCACACCTGACTCTCCAAAACACCTGTGCTCAAACAATAAAATCAAATGGTTCCATTCTTCTCTAGCTACTAAAGAATAAAAACATCAAATTTCTAGGCAGTTCCACTGATTCTTGAAGTTCTAATAAGCACTTTAGTGTGCATGTATGTGTTAGATCGAGATTGCTAATGTTATTTGTCACTAACTGTACTTTCTGAAAGGCTATGCTATAGACAAGCCATCTGAAAAACAAATACACTTCTTGCTTTCACAGTGTCTGTCCTCTCATTAGATGAAATGCAATACTTGACTTAAATTGGGCACATTTATTTTAAAACACTGGCATCAAGTAAGATTCCCTTTTTGGTGCTTTTGCAATAATACATTTATAATGTTTTTACCTCTCTTTCTTTGCTGTACACCAGAAAAGAGACCTTCTTCTTAAACAAAATCTGGCCACTACACACAATCCATAATGAAAAATATTAAATCAGTTATGTAAAAGAACAAATTGTTCAATTTCCATATGGCCTTGCCCTAAAGCATCAGACACAAATTGAGTTTAATGAATGACTATTTCTCTCTGGATAATTATCCAGATTGAATTGCTAATATAAAACTTATTTTTCATAAAGCAAGACAACCCTGGTTGTGTGTGTGTGGGGGGGGGAACCCCTTAATATGAAAGTAATGGCATTCAAGGTTCATTTACCATGGCAATTTTTTGTTTAAATTATACTTTTCTGCAAAGTTCACACAGACCTATAACTTTATGGCTTTCATTAAACTGTTAATTCAGTGTTGCACTATATTATTACTGATTTTACATTTGACATCTACTAAAATCAAAATTAGAAGATAAGAAAGTGCAAACTACATTCTCGCAGAACAAATATACCAGATGCCAACAGGTCAATTAATTTAAAATCTCTTCCTGGCAAATTGGCAGAAAGCATTTTTAAAAACTAAATCATCAAGCATACAGAAGTAATAGTTTCACCAAGAAGCATCAATGTAATGTCTGCAAAGTCCCACATTTTAATTTTTCAAGAGTGTCAAGAAGCATGGATAGGAATGATAGAGCAGGTACTGTATACATGGACTTCCGAAAAGCTTCTGACAGAGTCCTTGACAAAGGTTCCTGAGTAAATTAACAATCATGGAATTAGCATGGAAGGCCAAACTGACCCCCAAGGAATTAAATGCTGGAGAATTCATTGGGCCAAGCAATATTCCCTAAATACCACCTTCTGGAGTTAGCCACTCAAGCAGGAGCAGAACCATTGGCACCCAGTGCAACTCCTGGATCTCCTGGCAGCTTTTGAAACCACTGACCATAGTATCCTTCTGGAGAAGGGTCATCCAGAGGTTGGGAGTATATCACCATCAGCATGCTAATAACATGCAAGTCTTATTTCTTCTTTTCATCTTCCATAGCCATAACTGATGAGGTGCTTAACCAGTGCCTAACTGACAATGGGCTGGAAGAGGGCTAACAAACTAAAGCTCAATCCAAAGAAGACTGAAATGCTGTTAGTGGGTGGTTCCTCTGACGGATGGAGAGTATTCAGCTTGATCTGGATGGGGTTGTATTCCCCTTGAAGAAACATAGAAACAGAGCGAGCCAGAAGGGTTCTCCTGGGCCATCTAGTCTGACCTCCAGTACCAGCCGGCTCCGCTCACGACATGCCCACCATGTGGACGTCCAGCCTATCCTTGAACACCTGCACCGATGGGGCCTCAACGACCTCCCATGGAAGCCCACTGCACACCCTCGGGGTCCTGACTGTCAGGAAGTGCTTCCTGGCATCTAAATGGAACCTTGGCTCCCTGAGCTTTGCTCCATTGGAGCGCGTCCTGCCTTCCTCCGCAGGGGAGAACAGGTCTCTACCCATCTCCATGTG